GGAGTTATCACTTGGCGACTAAGCAACGTGGGGTATGCACTGACGCTTAAAATGCCATAAATACCTTAAATATCAAGTGGTCTGATTAAATGGACCCTTTAAGCGACTAGAACGGATGGGGTGTGCAGTATTGCAGTATAACCCAGAATGGCATTGACTTTCATCCGTCTTATACTGCAGTAGCATCGGTTTAAAGTACGAAGTGTCCATTGAAAAATTAGACTACGGCTTTAAGAAAATTTTTGAAATGTTATACGATATGTGATCACATCGTTTCCACTTTGGAAGAGATGCATATATGAAGCATGTGCGCTGTCCAAGTCGAATGAGAGTTACTTGAGTGATCCTGCTGATTGTACAGTTCACCAAGGGGATATACTTTGTAAATACTATGATATAAAACAATGTTGTCTACTTTGTTCATCAAGATACAGCTGATCGTTGCAAACACAACGATCTCCTTCTAGAGAGAAAGTACATTCAGGATATCTTGCTAGATATCTTGATGATCTTGAGTACGCAGTTATCCGGAGGAGTAGTACGGGGAGCGGGCTCTGTCACCTGACAGCTTCCGCATGCAGCGCAGATGCGATAGCAGGTCTAACTTGCTTAATGACCGGAAGTCATAAGTTATGAAGAATCCATTAGGCAAAGCTGATCTACAAATGGAACAGGGAGGTGAAGCACATCACAAATCCAATCACTTCCTTGGCTTCATCTCAAGCGACGGCACCGCTTAGAGTTAAACTGGACGATTGTCCTAGCCTCGAGTGTCTTTGGTAATTTGTTCAGTATTTGGGGTCAGAAAAAAAGTAACACTTGACAGAAAAATCCGCCTGCACGTAGCCTCTGTCAGGTCACTGTTGCATGACGTGGAGATTGGTGTTCTAGTGAAAGAACTAGAACGATGGTTGAACCGTTTACAGCAATGCAGCACTTCGATGCATATAGCAGGGCAGCGTAAACAACAGTTCTATTCTGTCCTGGGTACAAGTAATCTCGTAGATGTGGAGATTAAGAAAAGGAGGTTGACCCTGCAAGACAAACTGGTTGAGCATAAACCACTAATTTCAGCTCATAAGCTTCAGCAATCAGACAGTGGAGGTCAGCATGCAACCTGGAGAAACAAGATAGAACTAGATCCGCTTTTTCAGATAACTATTTCCTTCTGCGATGCAGTAACTGTTACCTTGTTCCAAGTATTTAAAAGTTGCAAATACAGCAGACATCGGAAAAACAGAAATTTTGTTTATGCAAAACACTAAAGGTGAATATGTCAACACCAGCATAAATTTCCGTGCAATATGATCTTCATTACGGTAGGTAGGGGAGAACAGAAAAAATACCTTATTAGACATCCTGACGATGAACAATGAAACGCACTACGCAAATGAAAGAAAGCGAATGTCTTCTTCGCAACTTTTTCAACGATTTTCATGCAGTTGTGAAACGGATATAATCAATCCGTTATCAGTAAACAGATGTGTATATATCAATTTGGATCACAGAGGAATTCAAAACTCAGGCATTACAGTATACTTCCAAGAAATAGCGGATACTCATATCCAATTACGGAAGAATGAATTTTAGACCAAACAGCGAAGTCCGGACGTCACAGAAGACCGGTCTATTGTTAAATTTGAAAACAATATCAAATCTACATCACATATTGCGAATTTCATTGAAAAATTAAAGAAAATTACATCCACCTAATGAATGAAAGTGAGATTAAAATCCCAATCAACACTTCGAATGAATTCACCAGAAATGTCAAAAGGGAAAAACCACTGACGAACGGCGTGGATGCATGAATTTAATTTTCTGCGAAGGGGGAAGTTTATATACAATAAAAGGAAAACATAGTTGAAGAACGGAAAAGGAACATACGGGCGAGCTGATAAGGAGGAAAACGCGGACAGCATACAAAGAAGACAGCCTCCGTAAGGAAAAGTAAGAAGACAGCAGAAACATCCCGATGCCATTAAAGGTGAATGGGAATACTATTCACTATCTGTGCAACACGGAGCTGCAGCATATCATAAAATTAACTGGCAATGAATGAAGTTTACTAGAAACATCAGAAGTGCTCATCATCCGGACTAGGAGCTATTTAAACCTTGAAAAAGTACGGGAGTGAATGGACGTCTGAACAGCCGTGAACCTAAACAAGCTGTTGACAACTGGATTGTGTACACTGCGAAACGTCGACCTGACTAGGAATGGCGCTTTACCTTTCCCCGTTGCTCTGCAAATGAGCCTAGTATGACTTGGATCGTTCGCGGCTTCACAAATGCAATCTGTATGTTAAGATACACCGTTCGAAAATTAAACTCGTATAAAAAGTGCTTTATCTTAAATAACCATAATTAATAAACGGAAACTATTTGCAGCGTTGACGAATAGAGTTCTGAAATTATGCATAACGTAAAAAGTTACAAATACTATCTTTATGTGATGATAAAAGGCCAGAGTAATTCAGACAGTACGGAATCGAATTTTAAGTCGAGATAATGCAAATTCGAGTTCTCGACTTTCATCCGCCATTTTGAAAAGAAACAGCAAACTACTGGCTAGGACAATTATATACGAACATACAGTCTTAAAAACAGCATTGTTGTTTAAACAACAGAGATTAGCGGCACACCGCCAATCCATGAAAGAAAGCGCCACATTCAACGCCAAATGACTGAAATGTAAGTCAGATTGAAATCTAAACATCTACAAACTTTACTTTCTACAGTAACAGTAGCTTTCCCATTAGATTCGTAAAAAGCACTATAAATCGTTCTACAAAAAAGTGTAAATTAGTTAACAGAATCGATGCTAAAGGTATTATCTGCAAGAATAAACTTAGCTTAATTCTCCCGCATTATAAAATACACTAGTAGAAAGTCCTAAGTTACTATAAGAAAGCAGTAACATTTTTGTAGACCTTAGGATTACAAGTCAACATTTATCTGTCGCAAGCATCACATAGGAGAAAAGGCGAAAAATAATGCTGAAAAAAGGAAGACGCATCTACAGACAGGCGGAAGAACTATGGATGGATCGTCAATATACATGAATGAGGCGTTTAAACGAAGCATCTCGGGAGGAAACCGATGAGTCAATGAGTCGATAAGATGAGCCAAGAAATAGACCAGCACGCATCAGAAGAAAACAAGGACGGGCTTAACGATTGTCAGAGTGCACCTACGTCATCAGAAAAAGAAACAGGCTTAACAGGCGCAAGGCAGAAATATCAATTTAACTGGAGGAGTCAAAGGCAGAATGGAAGAAGTAATTAAATTGGCATCTGATCGAAATTAAAATCATGAAAGAGTTGAAAAATCAGCGCACGAACTGTTTATAGTCTCAATGAAAGAAGAGGAAGATTCCGCAGTGATGAAGAGAAAAAATAGAGAAAATGCAACAATATCTCGAAATGTCGGCTTGTCAAACTGAAGTCTGTCAGGAAAATGAAGCGAAACATATCCTGCAATCAGAATCAGAATAAAAACAATTAAAAACAGAACATGACCTCAAAACTTCGACTACAGCATCTTAGTATTTCTAACTGCTTTTAATTTTGTGTCAATTAATCTTTATCGATGACCAATTAATATATTTTATTCATTTTACTTCAGCAGCGAAAGTAAAATGAAAAACGACATTCTCCGACAAGAGGGATAAAAGAAATGACAGAGAAGTTTTGTCAATGTAATTGATTACACGGCATCTGTCTAATTTTCACGATCCAAGTGGGGGGGGGGACATTTTACTCACTTAGATCATGCTAAACATCGTCCGAATTTCTCTTCGTGTACCGCTGCAATCTATTTCAAATGTAAACGAGAATTTCACCACGCTTTCTTTAGAAATACGCATCTTTTTCACTAAATTTTTTTAAATGTTGTTCACAATATCTTGACCAATTTACTCGCCACAGTCGCAACATGTCAATCTTTGCTTTGTCCGGCCAGCTAAACTATAACAAATTTATATGCATTAAACTTTCTAAAACAACATCGTCATTAAGGAGGCGCGAATCTGTAACATCGATCATGGCTTGAAATTATCTACTTAACGATATAACAGTACTTTTAGCTGTGGAGAGTTACACTTGGAATTGAACTTGTTAGAGCGACGTTTAACAAGAATCAGCATTTTGAAGACAAGGAATTAAAACATGTAATAACTACAGGTGTTGAAGGAGATATCGATTCGTTGCACATGCTTTGATAACAGTCAATGGTTCTGTGATTTCGATCCATAGTTCATGGCAACAATTTAAAAAAAAATTTAATTTCCTGTACTCATCGACCAGCACACAAGCATCATCTTCAAGATTATATTAGAACAATTAGAACAGCGCTAAAGTTTGAAAGAGTTCAAGTGACAGTAACGTTTGTTCACTGCTTCTTCCGGAGAAACTGGTAGATGACATCTCAAGTGCTACTCAAATTATATGAGCTTGTACGTTCTTTACAATATAATCACTGTGTTTTAGTTCTTCATGACCTAAGTTTATCAATTAAGACATAAATGAGCTAAAATCAATAGTGGTTCAATGGAGCTATAGTTTCCGTTTTCACATAATTATATTGATAAACCAAAACAATAGAGAGCAATTTAACTTAGCAGTTCTTCGTACCTTTTTCGCCCCTGCTAAAGTGAGGTTTCCAACGAAAACGGTACGAAGTTTTTCAGCATCGCCTTTAGCGTTGTTTTTTGTTCTAAATCGATACAGTTTCAGAATTACAGCATAGTACAGTTTATTCGTGCAAAGGTACATACTCCGCTACTGCTTTTGAAACAGGTTCTTCTTCCACTGATGATTTCATATGAGTTTCTTTGAATTTTCGTTGTTTGGATGCCACGGAAGTGCGCGACGACTTGCTGCCTGTGCAGCTGGGCTTTTGCACCTGTTTCGAAGAGCTAGCGCTGGTTTCATCGCATGGAGCTGTAGAGGAGCGGCGTCTATACAATAATAATGCACAGAATGAATAACTACCATCGCATACTTCAGCTTTTTGCGGAAAAAAGACAGAGAAACAACTGGAGAGGTGTCAGGAGCAGAAGATTCGGCCAGTCCTGTCGCAACTGCATTGACATTACCAAGTTCTTGTCCGTCGTCATATGACCAAACACGTCTGAAACAAAAACTTAGAACAGTACTAAACAGAACTCACTACTTTTTATGAGGTGTTTTCACTTTCCGTCCCTCAGCTACTTCACGCTTCGCTTTCTTCGGATTTTCTATGTTCTGCACATTTGCGACCCTTTTTAATTGGGTTATCTTCCGTTTTAATTTGATTTTTTCCCGTATAATGGCTTCAGCTGACTTATCCGCCGGTTCTTCCCTGAAAGAGCGTTCAATAATCAATGTAATCAACGGATACGAATAAATTCAGTACTTTGTTTTCTTTTTTACGACCATCCCCTGTTTCAGAGACGTCCTTAGATGTTGCTTTCTTTTCTCTGCGCTGACAGCACGTTTAACTTTTCTGAACTTTTCCTGCACTTGCACAACTGAATCTTTTTCGATCAGTGCTGGCTTCCTCTTTCCAAGTTTATTATGCCTAAAAGTACATTTAAAGTTGCAAATGACAAGTAACCTCAATACGTACATGACCACTTTCCTAACCTTATCGTTTCTTTGCATGGAAAGCAGGTATAAATCTAAGGTTCGTCAGTCGATCATAAACGTTTAATCTAGAATTTGTTCAAAATGAACATCTTAAATATGCCTTTCGTCAGACGTTAGATTTACGACACAAAAGTTGTACACGGAAGCTAAACGTAGGTACAGTTTAACAGACATCAATTAACTACTACGACCGCCGTATTTAGCGAAACCCTGGTCAATCTTCGGCAACAGTGTATGGCTGCAGTACATAAATGAATAAACACGCTTAACGCGCTAAAGAAAGCCTTCTTGCCGAACCGATACAGTACAATGATAAAATCAACAGGTACAATTTAAAGCGCCAAAAATGTTCCCTCGTATACGATCAAATATATTGCACAGTGACTGTTATCTTTTAACACGGTCATATGACAACTATTGGCTCCGCCTATTAGACTCTGCACTACCTTTTCTGAAAAGACACCGGCCTACTGAGTGTGCATAGCTGGTTTACTTTTAGCATGACTAGAAATGAAAGATCTAATTTGTAACTAAGCTTCTTCTTTAAACCGACGATAGAAAGTACTCAACAGACCACGATTAAGCCAGCGCCGTGAACTATAGCCCGTTTGTGTAAGGTCCAAATAATACACGTTAATTATTATTGTTACTTGTCGTATGCCAATAAATGACAAGCAGGCAAAGGTGTATCATAACATATTTCTATTTGACATTATTAGCAAGCAGTCAGTCGGCCATTTATTCTCACTTTTAGTAAGTACAGCTGTAAAAATTAGATTTTATTCACGTCCCATTATGAGAGTTCAGCTCAGATCATCGCTTAATGTATTTTGTAAATAATTTGTTCATTAATAGTAAGAGATATCTTCTGGAAAATGCTTCCAGGGGATT